CCAAATTTGCCTATTTATTACTATAGGACATAAAAGACCTCTTGTTTAACTTTTCTTCTGACTTCTCTGTCTTAATCTTTAACCTTTGCAGAATAAGAATAAGGAACTGACATTCTGGACTATGGCCAATAAGCAAAATGCAGTAGAATTCCCTTCAGTAAAAGTAGACAGACATCAACTAGATTAGAGCAAAATATCTTGCAAAGGGCTCAGATTCCATAATCAAGACGTGTTCACTTCTAATAGTAGGCTTTGTTCAAAACCAGCACATAAAAGCCTTTTTTTCATCAGAGAATAGCAAGTTATTTACATTGGTCACAGCTTTAAAATGGTCAATTGTATTAAAGTGGTCAAATACATTAAATCAAATGTTGCATCTGTATGCAGACATAGACAATTGTATGACTTGCTGTGGGGTGGGGGGTGGGGGAGACCTTTTCATTGGATACAGTACTAGATACTAGTACTAGAAAATGGAACTTGTTGAATTTTATAATCAAAGCTAGTGTGACATAGTGGTTAGAGAGGCAAACTAGAATTAAGAAGCTATGGATTAAAAAAAATCAATTTCATTATAAGGATGATTGGCAGAACTTAGTCCATAATCATGTTCAGAAAACATGATAAACATGATTTGTTGGATTGTTGTTGAAATGTTGATTGTTGTGTTGCTGCAATCCAGCAGCACTAAGAAGCCAAGGCTTGTTAACCATGAAAATCCCATGAAAAGAAGCCAAACCTTCTTGTTGGGTTGACAGCTGCAGATTGTTCATCGTGGCTTGTTTTCTTTTCTAGGTTCAGATAACACCCAGGTTCCAGCAGTAACTTATGGTTCAATAACAACTCACACTTAGCCCGGCTTCACACATCATGGCAAGGAACCCTTTGTGCTAGACCTGGTTGCTTGCTGTTATCACAAAGGGGAAGCCCAGTTAGGTGCACAATGGAAGGAGTGGGGGCATGCCTGTTTTCACAGTGCACCACCTCTGAGGTCGAGACTCAGAAGAGCTCATAAAGAATGCCTTGGGGAATGAATGGTAGAAGGGGTTCAACATTTCAGTTTGTGTATTCTCAGAATCATATGTAAAAACAAAGATCATTAAGCAAAGAAATGCTGGTTAGACTGATATTGCTTGATCGGATCATGCCAGGATGTGCTTGAAAGACCATCAAGCCGTTTCTGTGTTGGTATGATTCCCACCCTCCTTGCTCCCACTATTGGCACATAACCCACCAGCCACTCTGTCTGAAATTCAATCCTTCTCTGGTTGGCTGCAGCAGCTCCTGCAGCTGCCCCTTTTCAGAAGACTGTGGTAGCTGCATACCAGGACCATAAAAACTACAATGCCAGGTTCAGATACTGGAGAAACCATGGTGAAATGTGGAAAACATAGAACAGACTGTTCTTTCTTACTGTGGTTTCTGAAAACCAAATGTACCATGCAGAAATACCATTACAGGATTTGGACGGCACAACGGACCATCTTGCACAAGAAACCACTGTGGCTGGTAGTGCTCATTGTCTGAACCCACTATCTTTATCTCATGGACCTGTTGCAAGGATAAATGGAGGTGGGGCACATGATGGGAGTGGAAGTGCCATGAACACAGAACTGCACTCCTTGGGGCAAATTTGAGTTATACATGCAATGGATGAATGAAATTGCTACTTTAGAAAAAAATGGCATATTTATACACCTCAGTGCCTATATGCATAACTTGCAAAGAGGTGAAAGCAGAAATTAACATCATAACTATTGTAAGAATTAATCAGAGGATTATAGGCATCCTATGCAAAGTAAGACAAGGAGTACTCTCTGATGCTTCCATTTTGCATCCTTAGTGTAGGAACTGGGTCCAATTGTAGTGTTCTTGCCATTTGGCCCAGAACCAGCTCAAACCTCCCTGAGGGTAGAGCCAGCCCCTTTTGAAAGGGAAGCAGGGAGGGGGCATTCAATTTGGAATCAGCTCTTGACATGGGAAAGATCTTTCCACTACTCAGAAGGATCACTACTTTCATGGATGCTACTTGTTAACAACTTAGTAATTCTGTATTGCAAAGCTAGGCTCTGAGTGGCCAGCCTAGCTCAATAAAAGACTGTTTTAGCAGTCTTTTCCTTAATCTGTTGGAAAGGGCAAAGAGGAGGGACGTGCTCACAACTGCCTGATGGTCAGTTCTGCCTGCATAGCAGGAGTACTTTGGAGAGGGAGAGGAGGAAGCTGCAGAAAACACAAGATGCTTTGTATTCTGCTCTCTGCTATTGCTTCCCCAACTGCCCCCTTTGACCTCTCCCTAAGGTTGAGTTCTGGACCTTGGAGAGGTAGCTGGTATAACTCTTTCAAGGCTGACTGTAGCACACCAGGTGGTCCGAGGGCAGATTCCCAATTCTGGAATTGCAGCTCTATTTCCAACCACAGATCTATGGTTCTCAGACAATGTTTAGGGGCCACAGATCCCTCCCTTGGTCTGCTTTTTTCTTGAACCTCTGGACTTACCACCAAGAAGTAATGGTTACTTGTTGAAAACAGCGCTGGGAACAAATCCAATGTTGTATGTTTAAAAATAAATAAAAAAATATTACCATCCGATAGTTGTGGCAAGAGGCATTATCTTCAAGGGCCCCTTTCCTATGCTGCAGAGACTGGCAACACAATTCTATACGTTTGCTTGCTATCTACACAATGAGACATACTCCTAAAGCAATACAGGATTTCAACCACCCTTTCATATAAGGTACAACTGCATTTCACATGTATGCATTACAATAAAAATGCAAAGGCTTTTAAATAAAAGATAATACAACCTGATGCAAATTCACTGGAACTGTTCTCCAAGTGCTACATTATATGAGAAAAGTAAAGTTTCGTTCAATGAAAGGGATAAAGGCAGCTCTAAAAGGCAGCTTTGTAACTTAGCTTTCTGGCAAATGCTGTACTTCCTAGGAGATCATAAAAATCCGAGGAACTGCACTGAATATGTTAAAGCCGGAAGATCTGGCAATATTGATATTCTTTAACAAACAGTTCTTTTTGCAAAATGTTAGGTAAGGAACTTTGCAGATGTTTTTATACTTTCCTGTATGAGACAACTCAATTATTGTGGCATGTTAACACTGCTAGCACAATATCTCTAAGACATGAACAGTTTTGTCTCCTCTTTGCTGATATTTAATTAAAATGCTGTTCATTGAGTATTGTGCTCTAGCCTTCCAGAGAAGCCTTCAAGTAGAAGTCTAGTTTTTTTAAATTTGTCTTATCAGAATTGGTGGTGTAACCTCATTCAGGAGGGTGAAAGCTGCTTTCATAGGCAGCCAAATTCACAAAGTGGAATGCTTTTATTTTACAAGGAGCAGTTATGAACTAAATGATTGTTTACACATTCAACAAAGCTTATTAACTTATTTCTGTATTGAAACGTATTTATAATTCTGTCACTAATAGGGCAAGTATTTCCTATTTTTTTTAAACAAGTGCTCAGAGATTTGGGACATGATGGACAAGTCCTCAGTAACATAAGGAAAACAATATGGCATGGTAACATCCATTCTTACATAACCTGAGGAAACTACTTATGCAAGACAAGTTTGCAACCTCTTACTAACCACAAGTTGGTCCTAATACATGTACTTAAGACTGTAGGAACTTATAAATGACCACAGAGGCATAACACTCAGAGGAGGAAGAGCGAACTACCTTTTTCCTCAGAGTAATAAAGAGAAATAGCTGCTTGTCCTCTAGCCACCTTCAGTCTAGCAGCAGAGACAGTTCAGTAAAAGATGCTACCCCAGCCCCCATTCCAGGATACATGTACCCACAATGTAAGATTAGAAAAGCTTCACAAAACTACTCTCACTGCCAATATTTTGTGCTAAAAACATACATTTCGAGTTCTTTCTAGCAATTATGCTGTTTTCTAAAAACTGCATTTTATCAACAAAAGAGCCATGCAAGAAGTATTGTTGTATTCAGAGAAGTGTCATTGTTATATTCAGGAGATTAAACTGAATCTGAACCAATACTTGAACTGGAAAAAAAGGAAAGAATTGATGCCATGTTGTGCATTCTCTGCTTCTCCATTAGAGCTATTTTTTAAATGTTCTTTGCAGACTAGAACTTGGGAAGATTTCCCAAGCCCCAGTCCAACACTCTACCATTACCCCACCTTGGCTCACTCATATTATGATACCGTCAGTGTGGCATAGTAGTTAGAATGATGGGTTCTAGTCCTTACTTAGCCATGAAACCCACTGGGTGACTATGGGCTAGGCACAGACTATTAGCGTAACCTATCTCACAGGGTTCTTGTAGTGAAGATAAAATGGAGGAGAATCTTCTGGGATCCTTGCAAAAACATCAATGTAGTAAAATGATAAAAGCTAATAATATTTAATCAAGTATGGATTAGTCAGAGATAAGTCACAGATCACCTTCCTTGCCTATTAATAGTGTCTTTAATGCTCTACTTAAAATCTGAAGAGTTTTACATTTCATCTTTGCCAAAGGAAACTTTTAAGTGGCCAAATGTTGTACCTAACAGAACACTTATGTGGTTCCCAAATGATGTTTCGAGAGCCCTAGGATGGTACCAATCTCCTCCTCTGCCATCAAAGGCAAAGCTACAACCACAGAAGAAGTTGCAACAATGATCTCATAAGAGATGCTGGTAAGGGGGAAAAAGGATCTGCTGGAGCAGTCGTAGTGTTGGATCTGCAGAATTCTAAAGTCTGTGAGATGAACAGGGAGAAAAGAAAAGGAGAAAAGGGGCATTTTTGCCATTATCACTTCCCTGCCTAGCTCCTTCTGGGAAGACACAGCACAGAGACCCATTCCTTGAGCCTTAGGACTGCACTCAAAGTCTGAAGTCTTCGAGAACTAAAGTCTATATATTTCAGACAAGAAGCTGACACTAAATGAGATTTACAACATATCGCATGACAACAAAAACAATGTACACCAACTTTCGCAAAATACAGAAAACATTTCCACAAGACAGCCCCATCTTTCTTGGTACCAGTTTATTTATTTTTACATGTTCCACAAAGCACTCAAAAGGTTTACCATTTAGCTATGTCAGCCAGTCCAGTTTTGCTAGGAGAGATGACGATCACGATCATTGTATCGAGGAACATATATAAATATGCAGAACACCAGGTGCTCACCTCATCAGTCACTTTAAAAATAGTGTTCACACTGCTTTGTTTTGTAAAATGTTGTATAAAGGCAAATAATATTTGGGAAATGGACTCTCAGCTACAGAAGTTGTGCTATTTGGTAAGCTATCAAGAAAGAGGGTGCATACCAACATCAATCTTCTTCAGAACTAGATTCATCTTCTTGATCAGAGAGCTCAGCAACAGGAAAGCGCAGAATGGCAGCTATACCTGTCAGTTGCCCGAGCTGTTCCCCAGACACGTGAAGACTAGAGAAGATGCGAACTGTGCCCATGTTGTCCCGTACACTATCTACCAGCCGAACATACCGGCTACGAGTAGCCACATCTTGATGTCTAAAGAGTTCATCACTGATCAGTAAGGTATCAATAGCCATGGCTTCATTTGCCTTTTCCACATGCTTGAGACCATAAAATGCTCGGTCAGGCTCATGCTGTAGCATCTTGTAGAAATCATCTAAAGCTTTGACTTCACCAGCTGCCTTAGTGTCAGCGAGTCGACTAGTCACAGCTGGGTCACACAGAGCTTCTTTCAATGCATATTTGTGTCCAGAGGAAGAGTGTACCTAGAGCAAGAAAAATAACAGAAAACACAAACTGACCATTTTGATATCAGTTGTTTTCTTCTTGAAAATTGAACTCCTTGGAAACACAGCAGGTTTAAAAAAAATGCAAGAACACAAGTGATTTGTTTCCTGCTAGGAAAGAAAAATATTTACCAATCTGAAAATTGGTACATTTATCAATAGTTACCTCATTCAAGGAGGATTCCATGTTCAGTTGCATCCTCCTGATTGAATTCTGCCTTAGCCTTGTCTTTGCTCAATATATTAAAACAACAAAATTCTTATCCCTTAATTAGACTTTCTCAACTGCAGGTTTAACAATGCTCATACCACACAGAAGACATTGTTGAATAACAGTTAATAACACGCCTGTTCTTAAGAGGTACAGCATACTCACTGAAACTACTAGAACATACTTTGGAATAAGCATACACCAAATGAAGATCAATACACAACTCTATGGCCATTAAGGAATCATTCTTATTAGTATCTTTTGTATTAAATGCAAAGAGCAGCACAATGAGATGCATCCTCATTGGTGCATTTTCATTGGAATTTGCTTCCAAAGTAACAAGCACTCAGATGTTCAGTCAGCCTTTTAATACCCATGAATAAATAAAAAGGTTGCATTGGGTGTTGCTGTTGTTTTTTTTAAGAATAAAGGTGCAACCCTATTATTACGATTGTAGGCCCTCAGCTCAGAGACATGTTCTCTGTATAACCCACTGGAAGCAGTGATAGATGCTATCTTCACCCCACCATCCTGGTCTCCTGCATTGTTGCTAGATGTGCTTTTTTGCCCTAGGAAAAGAGGCTGCAGTAGGATAGTGTACAGTCTGACCTCTACATTCTCCTCTCCTTGCCCTGTAAAACAGCCCTTTTTCCTCTCTCTGGTGTTGCATTCCCAAATTTAGATTAGCTAAGTGAAAAGAGAGTGTTAATACTTCGCTTAATAGTAATACATTCTGGGCAAATGGTATCAGAGCTGGACATCTGCTTACCTTTTCCTTCCAAAAAAGGAGGAGCTGTTAGCAACAGTGCTAAATCAAAAGTACTTGCAATTCATCAAGACTATTTTGTCTTTTCAATAAGGAATATTTATTCAGCTATGCTTTAAAGCTGCATTTTGATTAATCTTATTAATTTTTATGCCAAAAGCTTTAGCACAGTAATTTAGGCCTACAAGTAGAGGAGAACCATGCATGCAATTTGAAAGATTCTTGGCTTTACCAAGTACAATATTGTATGTCATACAATTAATAAAGCTGAACTAACAGTGCCAGTTGACTTTTTATTAGCATGCATAAACTTGGAGAAATATTAGTCTGAAATAAATTTTGAACAGAACTATTTCATGATCAATTATATCTTGATAAACATAGGGTGATTTTTCTAGTTGTTTCCACCAGTCTAGAGACTAGTCAAGTTTCAAGTTTATTTGAAAACTCTTCATACCACCAAAAGGACATAAATTTGTGATTAATTATGAAATCCTATGCATGCTTACTCAGAAGAAAGACCTACTGAGTTCATTGAAGCTTACTCTCAAGTTGTACATTAAGTGGGTGAAAGCTTAAAAGCAAGAGGGGATTAGATCATTATGCAATGCTCAAGTTTGAATGTCAACTTCTTTCCTTACATTTTCCCTTCCACTAGACTTGCAACTTAATTCTAAACATGATTATTTCAAAGCAAGCCGCAAACAATTTAAAAAATTACTTCAAAGTATATATGCTTAAGAACTGAAAACTTCTGAGGCAGGAACTTATCTGATTTAACCTAAAATACTTGATGCCCACTCTGAGCAAACAAAATATACAAGTGTGTGTGTAGTGGGGTGGTTCCAAAAGAGGTGGCCTCTAACACATCTAAGCTGAGTGAATACATTTATCTGCAGGAGAATAAATTAGTGTTTATCATTTGAAAGTATTCTGATACCATTTATTGCTGAAATAGCTGAATACAATAAAATCACTAATTCTTATATGCCATTTTTGCTGCTTAGCTGTTTACAGCCATTCGATTTGCATATAATGCACACTATTATTTTGAATCTTATTTTGAAACTATGTATGCAAGTATCCACACAGACACCAATTTCTATAAGACAGCTTACTCTACCCTACCCAACCCACACCCTTGGGATGTGCTGGGACTGACATTCCCATAATTCTCAGCCAGTGGCCATGTTAGTGGGCAATTATGGGAGTTGCAGTCTCAAAACATTCCAAAGGCATTGGTTTGGAAAGGCCATACAAGTCGACTGAATAAAGCTCATCCTTCCCTTGACTTGACAGAATTCATGGCGGTGAACTGTGCCTTTTATTTACCTGCAAAAATTTGGAGCGATTCTCCAGCAACAGTTTGTTGTCTGTCTTGACAGCCTGCTGGAACATGTAGTCGCAAAACTGCTCTCTTACAAAGCCCGGACTGGCCACAAGGACGCACTTCACCACCTCGAAGTTGATGTGGCGCTGGATGGCCTGCATCACCTGCTCGTAGAACCTCTCCAAGGCCCGGTCATGCTGCGTGCAGTTGCCCCTCCGCTTCCGAGGGATGTTCACCTCCACCTTGGCCCGGGTCAGCGTCATGCTCGGGGTGACCAGGCAGACGTGGGCCAGCCCTTCCTGCATCACCACGGCGGCCACGTCGGCGCTCCACGCCGGGTCGCAGGCCTGCTCGATCCTCTCCAGGACCACGCTGTCCCACTGCTTCTTGGCCAGCGTGAACTGCCGGTTGGGCTCCAGCTCGATGGTGTGGTAGGCGCCCATTTTGACGTACTCGTTCTCCTGGATGTTGGTGCCCTTGACGCGCAGCTGGCACGCCTGCGAGTCGAAGTCGATGGTCTCCACGCAGAGGGTGAGCATGGTGCGGACGCGGTTGCTGCCCACGCTGCCCGTGGAGGACTCGGTCTGCACCTTGCGGATGGTGGAGGCCCGCAAGCTGTCGCCCACCTGCAGCAGGTTGTAGGCGTGCCACATGTCCTCGGCCTCCTCGGGGATGAGCGTCACCTGCCCGGCATTGTCCTTCTCGATGTCCTTCCGCACCAGCTTCATCCTGGCGGGGGCCGCAGAACCTAGTCAAGGGAGCCGCTTGCAGAAAAGGCGCGGCTGCGCCTGCCTTCCCCCGCTCAGGAGGCCGTCGCCAAGCCGCAGGACCCAGGCACCGCCGGCCCTGAAGCCTCTCCGCTGCCGCCCGTATCCAGCGGGCTGCGCGCCTCACGACGAGGCGGGTGACGTGGCCGCTCGACGCGCTCGTCCTGCTGGCGGCGGCGGCGGCGAGGCGAGGGCGCGGCTCTGCAACCGCTCGCGGCGGCGGCCCCGCGGCAGAGGCCCCTTCCGCGAGCCGCGCGCGACAAGCAGGTTTTTTTCCCCACGCCGGGCGCGCGGCCGGGCGGCAGAGGAGGAGCCCCAGCCGGTCACCGGACCCCGGAGAGACCGGGCAGCCGCAGTGGCGGAGAGGCGGCACGTGACAGGCGACCCGGAGGAGGAGCCGGGCCATGCTGGCTTCACACGTGACGTGCCGGGACGTAAGGCACGCGCCGGCTGCTGGAGCCGGCGTCGTTAGTCTGAAGCGGCGACTTCGAGTGGAGGCGGCGGGAGGGAATTAGCTTATTTGGTCCATAGATCGGGCGCGCGGGCGGCCGGCCGGCGGTATAAATACGGAGCGCGATTCTCCAGGGAGCGAGAACCGGCCCGCCTGGGTTGTGAGTAGGCTTTCGGGTGCTTAGCCAGTGGTTGCGGCCGCTTGCCCGGGCAGCTTTTGACCTTTCTCAGGATCCTGGTCGTTTTTTCCACCGATTCTGGCGGCCACACTGCAATTTGCACATTGCTGGGTACACATTATTATACTTCCATGGATCATTAGAATAGTTTTTATTCCCCGTTGGTCAGAAAACAAAAACACAAAGCTTAACGATCAACAAAAATGTGCTAGCAGTTAAGATTTCTAGATCTCGCCATCAGGCAAGATGTCACAAAAAGTAGGTGGGGGTGGGGACGCATCCTGCCACAACAGCCATATCTTATTCCTCCTATGCTCCAGTCGCTTTTTGTAACACGCTACCTGCTTTTTGTAACACGCTACCTGATGAAGAGGTATGACGATCTTAAAAGGTTGTGCACTTTTTGGTGAGGTTGAAGGTGGCCTAATAATAATGGTACTACCCTGTGTGGTTTTTAACACGGGTAGTTTATTTTTTAAACACCGCCTGCTTAGTAAGCCCCTTCCTGCTCTGCAAAAGAGGGTAAGGCCAGTATGGGAATGATTGGAAATAGGGCCACATTCATAACAGTTACTCCAAACTAACTAGAAGACTTAGGTGCAATACATCCTGTACAGTAATTTCTCCCCAACTATCAAAAATCTGCAGTTGGAGACAGTGCCAGCAAAGGGAAAGGTTCTTACCAAGTGCTGAAAGGTATGATTGAACCAACTATTTCTCTCTTTGTAAAGTTATTTGTTTGAAAATGGAGGCTGTGCAGGGGAATCTCTCACAGGACTCTCCCCCCGTCTTTTTCAGTGTGTCGTCAGTTCATGAGTCTGAAAGTGGTGACAAGCATGTCCCTAACATTGCAGTTGCTGCCATTTATACAAAGCTCCTGAGTGAAGGAAGGAAGCATCCTCCTCACTCGGATTTGGCTTCATTATGATCCCACAGGGATTGGTCAGTGTCATTACGAGGCAATCAGCATCAGGACAATCAGGACCACCAGTTCCAGGTCTTGGAGGGCCCTTAGCCAGGACATCCACCTGGGCTACTTCCTTCAGTGAGTCTACTTTCCCACTATCATTGTCATCAGCTGCTATTGCTCCTCACTCTCTCTCTCATTACTGTTGATTCTTTCTTGGAGGAGAAGGCTATCAGTGGCTACTAGCCATCTTCAGCATCAGAGTCAGTATACCTACGTACGCCAGTTGCCTGGGGACTTGGGCAGGGGGTGCTGTTGCACTTACATCCTGCTTATGGGATTCCATGGGCAACTGTTTAAACAGAAAGCTGGACTAGAAGAACTCTTGGACTCATCTAGTGTGGTTCCTCTTATATTCTTTGATCACTTGATAGGCGGAGAACCAGTAAGCTGTCAAGTCATCTTCAACTTATGGCAACTCTCTGAATGACAGCCCTCCAAAAGGTCCTGTCTATGACATCCAGGTTAGCTGCTCTAAATTTAAGGCTGTGGCTTCGTTAATGGATACAACACATCTCATATTTCATCTTCCCTTTTGTTTTCTGCCTTTGACTTTCCCTAGCATGATTGTCTTCTCCAGTGAGTCTTGCCTTCTCATAATGTGTCCAAAGTATGACAGCCTCAGTTTTGTCGCTTTTGCTTTGGGGAAAAGCTCTGGCTTGAGAGCAGTGACATTTACTGCTCCCCCCCCTCCCCACTGTCTGGGCCAGAGCGAGAGAGAGGCACTGAGCAAGTTGCAGTGCAGAAAAGGAGAAATCAAGGAGTTCTTGCCAGTGGACTCTTACTTGGCTGTGGACCCATGGAAGGAATCCAACCATGGCTGTGCATGATGTCAGCCCTGGCTAGAGATAAAGCATTCCTTTCTATCAATAAATGAATGCCTTTGATTGGAATACTTGCTTTCCAGTTACAGAGTTTTATTGTGCTCCTGCAGAATATATGTTGAAGGCCTAGAATCACTTTATGGCACCATTTATGTTTCCAAGCGGGATATTATATCCCCAGAATAGTGGAATACATCAAGTGTAGCTGATCCATTGCCCTTTTTGTGATCTGAATGCAGATGAAATAATTCTCCCAGAGTAGAAAATGTATAAATTGCAGTCAGGTTCATCACTGGGAATAAACCTGTTGAACACCTTGGCTTTCACAAATTTTGGGAGTCTTACCAGTGTCTCAGTAAGTGGTGTTTTGCCCAACTAGGAAATAGGGTGAGGCAGCCTGTGATCCTCAGGCATCAGATTCCATGCCACAGGGTGCTGCAAAGGCAGCACAGAGCCTCCTTTCCACCAAGGAGGCAGCAGGTCATTACACCCTTCCCTGGGGGCGGATCACTCATGATAACTGAGATACAGAGAGATGAGTTTCTATGACTCAATGACAAACAGTCATGAGTGAATGGACCCCGCCATACATGGGTTGCATTAGCCCATAGGCTGAGACAGGAACACCTTCAAGAAAAGTTAAACAGTTGTCTGCAAAGCTAGGAGCTGGATCTAGTCCTGAAATCTGACTGAACCTAGTAGTGCAAGCTTCAAACACACCAACACTTTAAAATAAATTCATATAGTAGTTTTGAAAGAAAACCTAGAGGTGTCCGCCACTAAGGTCTCCTTAATATGCACGCCAATTTTCAGGTGTTTAGGTTTTGGCATTATGACAATGACAGACAAGCCCTTTTATTATTACAAAATTTGCATGAGCTGGAATAGATCTGTAGTTGATAAAGAGAAACATTCAGGTGACTTTGCTGCAGTCAGCGTTGGACACCTTAGGTTCACCATGTCCACTGAGAGCGCTAGGCATATCCTCTACCATGATGCTCCTTCAGTCTGCACTCCATTCTTCTGAGAAGGAGCTATCCTGGGGAACAGAGCAGGTGTATAATTCTGCTCATTTCACTGGCTTCAGAATATAAGGATTACAAAGTTACAGTCTAATTCGAAAGGTCTGCCACTAGTGATTGAAATTGTCGCTGCAGATTTCAGATACTGTTAATTCAGTTAATGCACTCTAAAAGCAAAGTAAGCTCAAGTTTCACTATAGGTATGCATGCTGGACAGTGAAGAAAACTGACAGGAAGAAAATTGATGCATTTGAAACATGCTGCTGGAGGAAAGCTTTGCAAATAGCCTGGACTGAGAGAAAGGTGAACAAGTGGGTCCTAGATAAAATCAAATCAGAACTTTCCTTGGAAGCAAAAAGGATACACCTGAGGCTGTCATGCCTCAGTCATATCATGGGAAGGCAAGACTCACTGGAGATGACAATAATTCTGGAGAAACTCAAAGGAAGATGAAGAAGACCAAACATGAGATGGACTGACTCCATAAAGGGCCACAGCCTTGAGTTTCCAGGAGCTGATCCGACCTGTCAAGCATGTGAGATTTTGGAGGCCTTTCATTCATAGCTTCACCTTAGAGATGACTTGTTGGCCCACCACCACCCCAAGTTGCACGTCCCTAGGTTCCCTTTAGTGGACATGCCATAGACTTTTTCCAAACAGAAATCATTAACTGAGGAATACTTCCAATAGAGTTCATATTTTAATGAATCCTGTGGATTATAGGGCTGTGAAAAAGCCGTTGTTGCTTTCCAAAAGAACTAGCTCTTCCCCAGAAAGAAAGGTGGAACAAATTTCTTTCAGCCAACACTTCACGGTAAATTTTGAGTGTTTGGTTGTGGTTCCAGTGCTGAAAATTCTTTGTCAGAGCTGTTCCATGCCAGTTTGCTGCATGAGGCAGAGCAGCAGATGATGCCCTTCCAGCTCCAGAGTGCCTGAGGCTGGTCCAGTTATTTTAGCACTCAAGATAGAAAATCACAGAAGTGTGTCTCCAAACCTGCCTTTTCTGATAGTAAACATTACAATAGTGGTACAATTAATAGTTATTTTTGTCCTTTCAGAATCAACAGGCAGAGGTGACCATCTCAAAGCTTAGAATCTACTAAGATCAGCAGGACTTGCTAACTTTCCAAGTATATAAGTCAGGCATTGAGAGGCCTGCTGATGTATATAAATCCCATTCCAATTTTTGAGATGGTGAATTTCACCCTTGGTTATAAATGTTGAAATCAAATTAATAAAGATTTTATCTGTTTAAGATAATAAATGGCTATTCTGCATTTGTAAGTAACAGTCTATATCCCGAAACAGTTTTGCTTGTTAATGAGGTGTGTTACAGTCTTCTAGCAAGCACACTCATTTTATTCTTGTGTAATGTTCAGAAAGTGATTGAGAAACAATTGTACACAAACTTTGGCTTATTTATCAGGCAAAGCAGTTATGCAAAATGGATGCAAAGGGGAATCAGTGGAAAACAAGGATTCATAAAATATATTAGCAAATACCACATGTACCAACTGCATTTTCAGTTGCAACAGTGTTTAAACATAAGACAATGCAATCACAACACACCTTTTTTCTTGCAAAAGCTGGTGATAAAATCTATTGTTAACTGCAAAAAAACATCCAATGTAGTGCTTCCTGTTTCCACCTTGTTTAAAATACCCAGCCATGTGGCAGAACGTTTGTGGACAGACACATTCCTATCTAACTAACTTTTCAAGCCATACCTTAGATTTACGGATTTTACACATGTGAACTCAACAGGACTACTACTTCTGGAAGTGGTGCCCATTTTCATTCCCTTTGCTTAACATGCTAAAAAGAAGTGGCACAACTAAGCTGGTAGCTGAGGAATGGTGGGACTTGTAGGACTTTTTCTATCTAAACATTCATAGGAGTGTGCCTTAGCTGTTTTTTTTGTAATGGAAAGTACTGAACTGTGTTTGTAAAAGCCAGACAAAATTGCTTGATAGCAACTTTTGCTCCTGTGTAATGGAGAACATCTAAAGATGATAGGATCTCCCTAGCAAAATCCAAACTTTGTCAAAGTATTTTTAAAGCTGTTTTTAAAGAAGAACAAAAAAGCAGGCAAGCAAGCACTTACTGGATTGTTATTTTGTCATATAGGAATTGACAAACATATGAGGAAAAAAGCTTTTTTAAAAACAGATGACATCAGGTGGCAGAGGTTTGTTAAACACAGCCTCCTCTGTTTTATAGATAGATAAAACAACTATCCAAGATACCATATATACCAGCATATAAGGCTGGGGGGCGGGGTTGATATTTGGGCTGTTTTTCTGGTGTTTCTCAGAGGTTGGGCGTATAAAATGATTCCCAAGTTTAGTTTTGCTATTTTTGGTTTTGAGGGTAGTCTGAAACACTGATACATACATAATAGCACATGGTACAAGTGACCTGGAAGACACGCACGCACACACACACACACACGGTGACCTGCGTATAAGACAAGGTCAGTATTTTGGGCTGTTTATACGAGTATATGTTGGACATATAAGACAACCCCCAATTTTTGCTTTGCTATTTTTGGTTCCCAGAATTGTCTTATATGCTGATATATATGGTACTTTAAAACACATTTTTCCATTTTTTTTCAGTAAAGGAAAATCATAGATTTGTCTTCACCTGGAGCCCCATTTTTCACAACACCGGAGAAAGTCAAATGTTTAGGGAAGGTACTGTACATAAGGGTTGATGAGCCTAATCTAAAAAATAAGTAAGTTTTAAAAAAAATAGTGTGGTGTAGTGGTTAAGAGCATGGGACTGGGACTCAGACAATCTGGGTTCTAGTCCCCACTCAGCCATGGAGCGAACTGGGTGACTTTGGGCCAGTCACAGACTCTCAGCCCAACCTACCTCACAGGGTTGTTGTTGTGGGGATAAGATGGAGGAAGAGAATGATGTAAGCTGCCTTGAGCCCTTTGTAGGAAAAAGGCAGGATATAAATCGAAAAATAAATTAAATAAATAAGAGAGAGAGAGAGAGAAACACCAACAGTGCAAAGTAGCTGATTTACAGTGATCTATAATTTTGACAGAAAGAAAATAATGGGCCCTTGTGTTTTGGAGCAGAATTTGGCATCCTGTACAGGATTCAGCTTATGCCACCTATGGAGCCCTGTCAAATGGCATTTGCAAACCTGTAAAGCCTGAATGCATCTTTTTAGCTTCCACAAGTTCAGAAGCTCCAGTGGAAACTATTAGACTTCACCCTGCAATACCTTAACTTTTATGTTCTGTAATGTGATTTTTCAAAGGAAAGGAAATGTGAATTGTGCTGACTTGTCATGCTTATAAGTTCAGTCTTTAAATCCTTCCTGCAAACTATAATTAAGATCACAAAGATTAGTTAGATACTTGGAATAGGTTACTTTTCTAAATGCCAGTTCCAGGAATTGAACACTTAACTGTGAGTATTTCATGACCAGCCTTGCCTACCATGGAAGCCATTTTATGAATAGACAAATAACCCCCCCACACACACTTTTACAGGGCAAATGAGGTGCATGAAGGCAATAGGTATCTGTTCTTGTCTGCCAGCAACTGCTGTTCTGGCATATATCACTGCTAAATATGAATGCTCTGTTTGATTATTATTGCCATTAGTGCAAGTATACCATAGTGCTTAAGGTTGGCCTGGGAGTTGGGAAATTTGGGTTCTAATCCCCTCTTGACGATAATGCTGTCTGGGTGACTTTAGGCCCATGACTGCCTCTCATCTCTCACAGGGTTGTTGTAAGGATAAAATGCAGAGGAGGAGGATTGTATACACTTCTGGGAAGAAAGGGTGGGATATAAATGTAACACAAAGAGAACTTAAGGTCAGTCCACACTATGGTTTATTAGCAGAAGCCTAGCATCCAGCAAAGACTTTTAAGGATGAAGTGGTTAAATGCTAGTTAGAACATCTGTGTTACCTCATGATGTATAAAATAGAGACCCTTTTGAAGAGTCAGTTCCACTGCTTAGCTGCCAGACATCAACTTGAACAATCAAGTGACGAGAAATCAAATTAAGGATTTGCAATTATGCTGTCCCTTCTTTACTAGTTCAATGTTCACCTATTCCAGTCTCCATCCAATTTTCAACTATGGCCTTTATGAAGGCTATCTAAGAGAGGAATACTTAAATCAAAAAGAAATATTCCATTCTCTGTTTGCTGTGATCTTTCAGGAACTTGGAGGATATTTAATGAACAAGAATGCATGCACTGACCAAGTACCCCTTTGAAGATCAAAGACTTCCTTCATAATATCAAGACTGCTTTTGTGGTTAGATACTCAGCTTAGAGTAATTTTCAAAATTAATTTATTTGACTACTTGTGGTTCTAATTTTGCAACCACTGTTGCAAAAGAAGTCCAGAAATGGAGTACTGAAACTTGCAGCATTAAAAATCTCCCACTCTAATCACCATAGACAAAGTGTAGAAAGAGAAGTAGTGCCATGCTATAATTTTGGATGTTACATAATACTATGATGCAGGCATGCGAAGTGCCATCACTGCTTGGTAAACCCAAATTACTATAATCAGACGTTTAGGCAATTACAGTATGTGTATTTCCAAAGAACGACCCCCCAAGTGAAGACAAAATTTGAAACGTTAAAACACTTATTCTATACATGCTTCATAAACCTAACTTGTCAAAAGTGGCTTATGAACTACAGCCAAATTACAGGACACAAACAACAGCAACACACACACACACACACACACACACACACACACACACACACACACACAAAAGCGCCTTTCCTTTTCTCCGTTTGGCTTATATCTATAAGTTTTCCAGGCAACTCTCAGCCTTCTCAACTCTGAACTACCCCCCTTTTCTGCTTCGCCTACGTATTTCAGCAAAGCTGACCCTCTGAGATTTACATAGCATCAAGCAACTGGGATTATCTTCATTTCCTTTCTCTCAGCCCCAACTTCCATTTTCCTTTCCTCAAATTCCATCCCACCTCTCACCCCAAACAGAAATGACTGCCGTCAGGAAAACCTGAACTTTTCTCATCCTGTGTTGCAGCAAGAAATCCTCAAGAACATGAACTCCTTATTGGAAATCCCACATGTTTCGTTGGCGACTACACTTGAGAGAAAAAGGGAATAGCTCATCTTTCTGATCTCCTGTGCACTTAAATAGGCACAGTTCACACTTCACTCTCCAAACATCTGCTAATTCTGTGATCTCTCATTTCCCATTTGGTCTTTCACATTTCCCATTCCAGTACCCGCAAAATGCACAACACAACACCGTTTCACAGTTCTTGTCACCGAAAATGCGCAGGTTGTAAAGAATTCCCTGGCATTGGCTCAGAAGGAGGCAGACTGAAAGAAGTGGGAGTGATCAACTGCACAGTTCTGGGGAGATCCAAGAAGAGCGTCCCTTTCATTACAGCTTGGAAGAGGTGAAGACTCAGGAGAGGAGAGGAGAGGAGAGGAGAGGAAAGGAGGAGGGGGGAGGGGGAGAGACAGAGATGTTCTTACCTGCCATTACCAAGCATGGAACAGGCACACCTGAGATGCTGAGGCAGGGAGTCAGGGAGCAAGAACCCATGGTTGCAATGCCCAAGGAACGCATGCAGGAAAAAATAAACTGGACACGCAAACAGAGGATCTGTTGCTCTCAAAGCGCCTGCCAACTTCACAATGCTGTTGCTGCTCTTGCTGCTTCTGGTCCCTTTCTGTATTTGCATCAGCAGCAGCCGAGCCTGGCATTTCCTGTTTGTTGTTCAAGCCTTTTAGGTCTCGTCCCCCCTCACACATCAAGAGAATTGCCCCCCCCTTTTATTAGCCCCCAGTCCTGCGTCCTATCCCAAGTGGGCGCTGAGCCTTTGAAACCCCCACGTGGCAAGATCCCAGAGCCCAGAGACATGTACAAATAAAGTCAGATCTTTAACAGCTAGTGTTTAGGCTGAAGTCTGTAGGCTGCAGGCAAACCTTAAAGGGACATCTGCTTGCTTATAATTAAGGGGAGTTTCCAGCTACCAGGCAACTTCTACCAAATACTGACGGCAAGAAGGCAGGTTTTGGGACCCACCCCTTGACCATGACTTTTTTCCATTTCTCCACCCTTTCTTTTTTTGCTGTGTTTTTAAATGCTCTCTTAGCAAGAAGCAAATCAAACCTCTCTTACAAGAAGTATGTGTTAAATTCAGATTCCAAAACACTTCCAGACTGAGGTGGCCCTTGTTAGTCTAATTTTACTCTACTTACATCACTCTGAAAAAATGTCTGTTCTATATTGTAGCATATACCGTAAAGTAAGTCTTTGTGAAAATGGGGTGGAGGAAAAGAGAGAGAGACTCTCATGTTCTGAGCATGTTTTTGGAATCCAACTTGTGTGGGCCAATACTGCAAATTTTCTCATGCACTTAAAATTAATCATGAGTGAATCATTTTTAGGGCGGCCTAAATTGCTTTACAGACCTCATCTCAGTCTTCAATCAATCCATGGCTGTAAATATTTTTCACATTCAGTTTCCTAAGTATAAATTGGGAATGACAGAGGACTATTGATAGACAAGATAGACCTTTATATCAAGAATTGCAACACTAGATTCTGGTTTGGTAACTATTTTTTTTTTTCGTGAGGGGCCAGATTCTAATTTGTGCAAGGTCTGGAGGATTAAAAGCATTGGTTCTACTCCTGCAGCAGTGGAGGTACCAGCAGATGCTCCATCCATGTCCTTTACCATTGACTTGGGCAACTTTTGTCTTAGCTTGAGCATCAAGCTAAGGGCTTTCTAATCCAACATGTTCACAAGAGCATGTTGGGTAAAAGAGACCTTTCCTGTGTCTCACTGAGCTAAGCTATGGCTGTTAAAATTGTCATGTGAAGTGAACAGCATAATTATCTTTAGTGTAAGTGTAAGAGCACCAATTTAGGTTTTTCTTTATTTATTGTCCCACACCAACAGTGAGGGGAATTTGGTGTGTATGCACAGCTGGGAAAGTTTAAGCTCTCCCAACTTGTTGACTTCGGTCCTAATCCACATGAAGGTTCTGCACACTTTCACTAATGTACAAGAAAAAGCTACCATCTGCTCCACGGGGGCTTGTAGTTTAGTTTTCAGCTTTGGTGAAATCAGCAGAAATGCACAATGGTGAGTATATGTGTGCAGGGTAAACAAGAGAATTATGAGCTATACTAAAGGCTAGGGTCCATACTGAGCCCATGGGCTGCTGTTTATATAACAGTACTATAGATAATTACTGTCTTTAGACAAATGGATACTGTCATTAGTTTGGGCATTTAGATTACTGTGATTGTGGTTCTGTAGAAAGCATTCTCTGATGGTAGCCAGCAATTTAATGAACATCAACATTGTTTAATGTCTTGGAATCTCTGTACAGCCTGGAATGTAATTCATACCAGTGTTTCAAAAGTTGACATTCTCTTGCAAAGGTAGAGAGAGGTGACATAGGGAGACATGATTTGCTTTCAGGCCAAGTGCCTAGGAGTTCAGACTTTTTGCTGGAGGACCTGAAACACATTTCACAGATTCTGTGCAGGATTGCCTAGTTGTATCCAGTAAGCTGGGCTTGTATATTTGTAAATAAAACATATATTTCAGAGATAACATAAGAGTCTAGTGGTTCCCTCATCCAAAGAAAGCTATGGCATGTAGTCCATGGACCTCTCATCACTCAGGGACATATACAGCATGTACCACCAGAGCTTGTTTCCTTGAAAAATATCCTGAGCCAACAGGTGAAGAAAGGCAGCTGGCATATGCAGGAACTATGCCATTCCAATAGCTTGTAGACTGGAACTGAAAACTTACATAGCCTCATTCTCCAAATCATGGAGAATGGCAGAAGTCTTACTCATCCTTGGTCATGAGTGGGCTTTAGTTTTGAGGAGTCTTTTTCTTTCAGTTGGGTGCTCCTTTGCTTGGACATGGTTCTGGCTTGAAGTTTTAGACAGTGACATTCATGGGGCCAACTCCTCTGATTCAGAATCCACCTCTGGTTCAGAATTAGAGTTGCCAACTTGCAAAGGGGATAAGCTGAGGCCCCTTTCCCAAGGACTCAGGACCTTCTTGGAGAGCTCAAGTTCCCCCTAAGTGGCTCCAGATCATCCTCTGAAAAGGCAACTGTAACTCTGCCAGCATAAATCTGTGTCTTCTGTCAGAAGAAGGAGAAATCGCTGTGGTGATTTGCAGAGTTAAAGAGGAGTCTAAAAGAAAGTGGGCATAGTGACTGTCAGTGGGGAGTTAAGCACTTCCAATTGGCAGCACAAGTCACAAGGGTGACCCAGAAGTCCACCTAGAGGGACTTCAGTTGTGTCTTGTTGAGGAAAGCTATGAGGCAAGTGAGCAGCAGATAGGTGTGGATTCTGGAATACTGCAATCAGGAATATAAATCCAGAGTCGGCGGACAGTGTTGAGGGTGCGAAGTACAAGGAACAAAATTACAAAAGAAGGTGCTAGAACAGCAGCCCACCCTGTGAGTGCCTGTGTAGAGTGTGACATGCTACAGATTGTGGCCATTTGCAAATCAATGGTCTTGGCAGATTTTTAAAAACTGTTATATTTTGTGAAATCTTTGCCAAATCCTGCCCTCCTGAGGTCCTGATCTGCCCCTCTAAAACTGCCCCCCCCCCCCGCAAAGCTACAACCCTTGCCCTGGATATCCTTATTTTCCTCTTACTATCAGTCATAAGGCAAATCATCCCCAACCACCAGGCATAAGGCAAGCATCACATTAGCCATAATTCAGAAAGGAGTTGAAAATAAAACTGCCAACATCATGCTTTCCTTATGCATCTCTACAGTGAATCTGCATTTAGAACACTGTGGCCAATTCTGGTAAGTGCACCTAAAAAAAGAGAATATTGTAGAGTAGAAAAGAACAGAAAAGGGCAATGAAAGTGATCAAGGTTGGAAAAACTTCCCATATGGAAAAGTTACAAGGTTTGGGATGTTTAATTTAGACAAAGCCATAACAGACATGTACAAAAGTATGTATGGTTTGGAGAAAGTGAACAGGGAGACCTTTCTCTTTCGCTCACAAATCAGAACAGACGGTCATCCTGTGCAGCTGAGATTCAGAACTGATGAAGTAAATTAACTTTTGCTCTTAGAAAATTTCCAGCTCAGTGGATGTTTCACTTAGAAATGCAAAATAGAGCTGCCAGGTTGCTGACGGGGACTGGGCATTGTGCTCACATAACTCCAGTCCTCCGTCAGCTTCACTGGCATCCCATTGAAGTCCGGGCCCAATTCAAGGTGCTGGTTATCACCTATAAAGCTCTTAATGGCTTGGGACCTGGTTACCTAAAGGAGCGCTTACGTCCATATATGCCCTCCCACCCCTTGAGATCGGCGGCAGAGGCCCTTCTCCGGGAGCCCTCTGTGAAAGATATTAGGAGGGTAAGTACAGGAGGAGGGCTTTCTCTGCGGTGGTGCCCAACTTACGGAATGCGCTCCCCAGAGAGGTCTGCCTGGCACCGTCGTTATTTGCTTTTTGGCACCAGGCCAAGACCTTTTTAAACGTTATTTTAATTGTTAACTTTATTTATTGATTTTAATAATTTCTTGCCAGAATGTCTCCAATATTTTATGTAATTGTATCAATTATATTTATTTATGTTTGGAAGCCACTCCGAGGCTTATGCGAATGGGGCGGCATAGAAGTTCTCCAAATAAATAAATAATAGATCAGCCTTCTCCAATCTAGTGCTCTACAGATGATCTAGAGTACAACCCTGAGTATACCTGACCATTGGCCATGCTATCTGGGGCTGATGGAAGTGAAAGTCCCAAACATCTGGAGAACACCAGGTTGGGGAAGGCAGCATTAGTTCCAAGTCTTAATCTGGGTGCTTTAGTTTGTAATTTTCCTTCTTCTCATGTGAACATGCTCTAATCACTTTTCTTTCAAAGTTCTGCTTCTACAATTTTGTCTTTGATCTTAGTACTCTGTCCTTGTATTCTTGTTTGCAAAACAGCAGGAGCAAAGATTATGTCTTGTTATGCAGCTGTGAAAGGATACAGCTCAAATCAGACTTATCTCATGAGTCTGGAGATACTGGGCTTATTAATGGCTTCTTTAACCCACACCCTTCTGAACTGGAGCCAGGATTTTGGCAAATAATCGGAAGTTCATGGAATTTTCCTTTCTTCCTTTGACGGTAATAAAATATGTCTGCTAATGGACCGCAGCTTCTTATTATATGTCAGTGCACTACCAGTGGTAATTTCCAGGAAACTGCAAATACTGAAGACCAAACTACAAAAGCAGCTATGATATAAGGAATGCAATTTCTTATGTTTATAGATGCTCCTGTGTGGCTGTCAAATCAATCCAAAACAGAACAAAATGGTGAGCGTTGCATACAGCAATTGATTTTAAATCCAGTATCTAGTAGTAATGTTAGGGTTGTTGTTATGATGCCTGAAAGGTTGCTAGCTATTCACTTATGCAGGAAGAAGCAAATGTGGACTCAGATAGAAGCTAAATTGCTCTCTGCAATTTAATTATGAAATGGATAATCCCAGCCTTGCATAATCTGGGTGCAGATGTTTTGGATTTTAATTTAATCCAAAACATCAGCTCCAGCTTGCATAGCCAATAGTCAGGAATTCTAGGATCTGGATTCCAAAACATTTGTAGGACACCGGATAGGGAAGGCTGAGTTAGCAAATATTATTGCAAGTCAACCGACAACCTAATGCAAAGGTTGAGTATGAACAGAGAAGCCATATCATAGAAGTAAGCCTCACTCTGACCCTTTTATGTTCCTTGATCCTCAACATGCTAACCCTAACTCCAAACAATTCACAATTCATAAGCCCAATTGAAACCTTGGTTTGTGATCCTGGATTTTAAAGGAAATAACCAAA